CTGCACCCAGGGGCTAGAAGGAGTGACTGAGAAAACGCTCGTTACCTTCTTTATCTTATTTTATTGTTTAACCAAACATCTTGGTTTGATCAGGATCACGTCAAGGGCTGAGCCAGAGCCGGAAAACTCAAGTCTCTTCTGATCAACTCCATGTGTGCAACTCAAATTCTCCCCTCTGCCCCTCGAGGGGGCAGCGAGAGGAGGGCAGGGGGGGAGGCAGAGCAGGGAAAGCGGATGTAAACGAGGCTGAGAAGAGCTGGTGCCCAGCAGCGGGGGCAAGGAGAGGAGAAGAACCAGAAGAGGCAGCAGGAAGGCATGGGGTGAGACCCTTCCTGAAAGAGAGGGAGAGAAAAAAGGACAGAGACGGGGAGAGAGGAAGAGAGGAGAATGCAATGAATGGAGAGAAAACCAGGGCAGCAAGCTCTGAGAGGAGAGGCCACAGAAATGTCCGGAGAGAAGTGGAAAGCTGATGTCCCCATGCCACTGTCCATACCCCTGGTGGAAGCCCACACTGCACCTTGGCCATCCCACTGGGACATGGGACACCCTGCACGCAGCTGGGGTCCCATCCATCCCACAAATCTGCTCCCTCCTAAAGCCTTTGGCTCTCAAATGAGGCTGCAAGGGGTTTGTGGTAGCAGGGTTCCCTGGGGGAAGGGTCTGCAAAGGGCCTGATTCAAGATGCTCCCAAGGATAATGGGAAGCTGTGCTACAACGATATCCTGCTCCCATTTGAGGGAGGCTGGGACATTTTCCTGTGTCCACATGCAGGCTGTTGTTGCTTGGGCTGAGTCCATTCTCCCTACAGAGAGGCCACAGACCAGCTTCTACCCCAGACACCTCAAGGCTCTGAGCTCCATCAGGACAGGCCACAGACACACAGGGTTGAGGGCTGAGAGCAGCCCGATGGCTTTGGGAGTTCCCTCTCCACTCAGGCCCGCGAGAGGGGCCCCAGAAATGAACAACCCCATCCAAAAACACCCTGAGCAAAGAAGGAGCACTTACCCCCACCCCTCCACAGGGCAGCATGACGAACATCCGCTGTGACAGGATCCCTGCAATGAGGAGACAAGGTGGATTCAGAGCCATGGAGCCAGGGAACAGCCAGGGAACAGTGAGACAAGGGCACGCAGCACAGGGACAGCAGTGGGTGCAGATGGGGGCTCACCTGCCAGCTTCCCATTGTCCAGTTTCAGGCGGTTGAGGGGATTGGTGCCATAGAGGAAGACGTGGCGTTCGGTGTGGACGCACTGCAGCTCCTCCAGGGTGGCCTTGCGTCCCCGCAGACACTGCAGGGCACAGGGGCTGTGACTGAGCCACTCTGGGATGGGACACGTGTTCCCCTCCCATGGATAGACAGGAAATACCAGCACTGTTTTCCTACAGTTGTAGAACCCTCTATGACTCAAAGTCAGTCCTGCTAGATCTGGGCAAGCCTTCTAACAGATGAGAGCTGACACTGGTGTCCCCCAAGTTGGCAAAACACCTCATTCCTATCTCAGCAGGGATTGTACCCATCTTCCAGCACAGCAAATTCATGGGCACGGTCACACCAGTGTCAGCAACAGCCAAAATGCAAGCCCCCTTCCCAAGTCCTTTTGTTGTTTGGATAAACAGGCTGGGAAGATCTGGGAACAAAAGGAGTGGAGGTGGGAGCAGGACACCCCATCACCTCTTTATAGCACAAGATCTGCTCATAGCAGCATCCCCTCCCCTCCTCCTCACCTCGCACTGGCTGCGCAGACCCCTCTCCTGCAGTCGGGACCAGATGCTCTGAATCCTACCCGCGTGCTCTGGGTGGTTGCTGTTGTCACCACAGGAGCACTGGTGTTTGAGCATCACCGAGTCATAAACCAGTCCTGCAACAACATCCAAGAAGAGCTGTCATCCTCAGACCGAATCGGATACCCAGGTCTCAGTGCTGCCAACCCTAATGCTGCCCCTTTCCAGGGCTGGGTTTGAGGCTGGGACCTAAAACACTCTTAGTTATTCGGTCTGAATGAAAACATCTTCATCAAAACCATGTGAGCCTCCGCCCTAAGGCTTTTGATGCTGTCCTGGATGCCTACGAAGTTAAACCAATCCCTTGAAACAAGCAGGAAGGCAGATGTGGGGCCAGAAGGGCAAATTCTGCTTGAAAATCACCTTAGGTGAGGAGAAGGGAACTCTCATGCCTTCCTCAGCCAGCCAGAGTGCTCCCAGGAATTCAGGAGTCCAGGAGAGATGGGGAGCGACATTCAACTGCCCCTGAGCAACCCCACCAGGGCCAACGTCCTACCTGTTGTGAAATGGGGCTTGCTGGTCTGCTCCTGCACCGGCAGGGAGAGCGCCTTGGAGGTCGTATCCTGAGCAGGGAGGGAAACAGTCGCTGTGGCAGGAGATGACTGGGCCCTGGAGAGGGGTCTGTGCCCTGCAAGGATGGTCGGGACCATGGGGGAGTCAGCCAGGGGCTGCCGTTTGAGGAGCTGGTGCTGCACACGCTGGTAGGGGTCCCAGAGATAGGCCTGATGGAGAGAGGTGGCAGTAAGCACGACATCACCCAGCATCAGGTGACACGCAGCCTTCTAGGAAGGCGAATGCCTCTGGAGCATCTGGATGTGACAGCTCCCTCCATGCTGATTGACTTGGAGCTGCTCCATAGGAGCTGGCACATATAAGGCAGCATCTGCTGCTCTCTGCTGGCTCAGTCCTGCAGTGCTGGGCAGCCCTGATACAAGGTGCAACAATAGGGGGATGTTGCCAGCACTTTGGGGATGATGCCCAGCCTTGCTGGCACCAGAGGTGGCTTCTGATCACGTCCCTGTCCTAGCAAACCGCCCCTGGACTGAGGAAGGGAAAGATGTGGTGCCTGCATCCCAACCCACACTGCAGTCCTTTACAGAGCTCTCTGGGTCTGAGCTGAACTTTCCCATGACCAGAACACTGCTGGGTTCGTGCAAAGTTTCACATGGCACCAAGAGACGTAGAAAAGTGCTCTGAAATGCAAGAACGCAGGAGGAGAATTCCATTTCTTACAGCCCCATCCCTGCCATTCCTTGCTTACCTGCTGGAGGATGAGCTCCTCCTGAGGCTGCAGCATCTTCTGAGGCCTCTCGGGCTCCTTCCCGCTGCTCCCTGGCCGTGCAGGCTCCACACATGCCCTTGCCTGCTCGCTGCTCTCAGCCCCAGCCTCCATCCCCTCTGCCTCCATGTCCTCTGAGGAGGGGATCTGCCGCAGCCGGGGCTTCTCGCTGGTTTTCACCATGCGCTGCAAGCAAGTGAGCACACAGAGGTGATGGGGACAGGGCAGGCTGAGGAGGCTTGGGGTAGCAAGGCACCCCAAGAGCCCAAGAATGATGGACATGGGAACCAATGAAGCTGAGCACGAGCCTCACAGCTCACTGCGAGGCAGCGGCATGCAGGCTTGGCCCTGGGTATCAGCTAATTGCTGCCCTGCAGAAAAGGCTGCGATCCTGCATCCTTCCCCCACTGCCTCCTGCACCCCATGCAGCTGCTCTGTGCTTACCTTGCCCAGGTGAGTCTGCTGCTTGAGCCTCTCCAGGAACTGGGCATGGTGCTGCTGGTACACCAGCTGCTGCTGGATGGCTTTGGGGTTCTGGGGCAGGGGCTCTGAGCGGGTCCTGCCCAGTGGTTTGTGGTGGCCTGGGAGCGACAGGCGCTCTGCAGAGATGAGCGATGGGGCGAAGGAGAAGGGGACTGTCCCCAGACCTGGCACTGCAGGGGAAAGGAAGGAGAGATGAGGTGTTTCTTTGTCTATTGGGCAGACACTAAGATCAACGTCTTCCATCTCCTCAGCAGCAGCTCGTGGACGAGAAACGGGAAACCAAAAGGCTGCCTGCCCCAAGGGAAGCTCAGTGCTATGCCTTGAATGCTGCTGGCCCCACTGCCTGCCCCCAGCTCAACACTTACCTGCCACAAGTGGAGCGTGGGTGACTGAGGGCTCGAGGATGATGACAGGCTGGAGCCGAGGGGACAAGGGGCTCCCAGCCTCGTGCTGTTCCAAGCCAGCAGGGATGAACATGGGTGAGTGTGTGCCCGTGAGGACAGGCCCGTTCAGCACAGGCACTCGGTGTGCCAGGCCAGAGAGAGGGCGACGATCCGCATCTCCCTGCAGAGAGGAGGGCTGGATTAGTAATGGGACACAGCACAAAGAAGGGATGGCACGTCCTCCCCATACCCACAGGCAGCCTCGGACTACTCAGAGCCAGCATATGGCTGGCACCCCCCCAACAATCTCAAGATCCCCCCCGCCTGCCTTGCAGGAACCCTCTGCCCAGGTCTGGGGAGTTTCCTACAACCAGGTCACCTACCCTGGCACTAGTGGTAGCTGGCAATCCCAGTGTGATGGCAGGAAGGGAGACTGCACTCTGCAAGGCAAACTGGGCCAGGGAGCTCTCCTGCATCATCAGGCGCTGGGCCAGGGGTGCCTGCACCAAACACGATCCATCAGTCTCCTGCTCTGGGAATTGCAGAGCTCAGCATGGGACAAGCAGCTCAGGACAGGCAGCAGAAGTGGGGGGGCCAAGTCCCAGCTGTCGGCGAGAACACCCAGGGCCAGGGGCACCAGGGACCCATATAGAGACAGCACATGCACTAGAGAAGCACTAGGGCATGCTGCAGAGGAGGGCAGCACATCACCACACTGGGCAGAGGGTCCCACCATGCAGGAACAGCTAAGGGCAGCTCAGTGCAAAACTGGGGTCCCCAGAGAGGATGCTAGCTCATCTTGAGCCTGGGGTGGCGGTGAGAGAGCAGAGCTGAGGAGCTCACCTCGTGGGCCATGCTGGAGGCAGTGGGAAGAGCTCCGTGCTCAGCAGGGAGGCTGTCATTGGGAGAGCTGCAGCCGGACACAGGGGTGCTGCTACTGCTTGGGGAGGAATCTGTGAGCAAAGAGAAAGGGGAAAATGAACACCCATACCCAGAGTGGGCTACACAGCCCTGCCCCAACCCTGCAAAGCTCTCCCTCCTTCCAACAATTCTCAGTTTGCCTGCTAGAGGCAAAACTCCCCTTGGTGAGGTGGCAAGCTGGAGATGCAGCCGGCCACGGAGGAAGCCTAGCCAGCTGTGCTTGCTCAGGACTTCGCATGCTTTCAGCCTTACAGGTCCATCAAGGGCCCAAAAATCAGCATGATACAGCTGCAGCAATAACCTCCCCTACCTCGTCCACCCCCTGTACCATCACAGCACAGAGCTTGCTCTCACAGGCTGTGCCCCACAGAGGGCACCAATAATTGCCAAGCCTCTGAGACATTAATTTCTCCCTTGGAGCCCCACAGCAGGCATTATATGCAACCCCAGGCTGCTCCAGCCTCTCTGAACTCCCAGGCTCTCCCCACGGAGGCAAAGCCCTCACCAATGGTCTCAGGTGGTCTCCTTTTCAGAGAGGGGGGAGCGCTCTCCTTCCGTGTCAGGGGGTTCTTGCGGCGGTCCAGGCACTTCCTGGGCTTGCAACGCACCTTCAGGTTGGGCTCAGATGCTGTGAGGGGACAGGGCAGTCAGTCCCAGCCCTACCACGGGTAAGGACAAAGCTGGACTGACTTTGGTGGGGTTACTTCTCGGCTCCAGCCATCCCCTGGCTGTGAGCTCAACGGCATCAGGGCAGGAGTGAGATGGTGTTGGCCCCCAGCCTCACCTGTCTTCCGCAGTGGAAAATGCTCTGGGGGATCAAGAGAAGTGCTAGGGACCGGGGACAGGAAGGTGCTGAGTACAGGAGGGGAAGGACCTTCAGGATCCAGAGGCTCCAGAGACCTATGGGGAAAAGCCTCATCAGAGATTCTTCCCTCTTTGCTGAGATGATCAGCCATGCCTCGACTCATCCAAGCCCACCATCAAAAGGATTGCAGGGCAAACCTGAGCAGCTGCCCTTGATGCTGGGTGGGTCAGATTATCCGGGGTGCTCTTGTTTTACCTGTATGGCATGGCTGGAGGGTTGGGGTTGCTGGTTCTTTCCAAAGCTGCTGCCTGCTGCTTCTTCAGGATGACCTCAGCCAGTTTCTGCTTCACCACTGTGCTGGCCACAGCACCTGCAGGTGTTACATGTCGATGATTTCCAGCTGATGCGGCTCTGCCTATCCTGCACCTCAGCAGGTAAAATATCACTGGAAAAATATCAGCATCCTGAGAGCTCAGACTCAAAGGGCAGGTGGGCAGCAGGCTCATGGAAACGGAGAACAGCTGCACTCCAATCTCTGAAGAGCTCTGCACCTCCAAAAGCTCGGCAAGCTCCTAATGCAGCAGGCACTAGATGGCGCAGGGAGATTGCAGCAGCAGGTTTGCTCTCCTGCATGGTGCAAACCTTCCTGCCCAGCACTCAGCACCCCCTAAAAACTCCTATGCTCCAGGCTTGGGGTCTGCCAGCTCTGGAAGGCAATTTGTGCCTTGCCTTGTGAGTGGGGCAGCACAAGCACCTCCGGGTTGGGCTGCAGCACTGCAGTGGCTGTTGGGCATAGTGAAACACCAAAGCAGGGCTCTATTGCCACCACTTGGCTGGTATCAATAAGAAGGACGCAAATCCTGGCCAGGGAGTCCCAGGGTGCAGCTCACTGCTCACAAGGATCCAGGCTTGCCCCACACTCTTTTCCTGAAGCTCTTTGATGCTCACGACAGAGATGCTCAAACCAAGAGCATGCAGAGTGTGGCCTGGGTAAGGGCAGCGCTGTCTGCTGAGCCCCTGCTAGAAGCTGCTTTACCCTCGCTCCCTGTGAACTTGGTCCCCCTGATTTTGGGGAATTGCCTCCTCAGGAGGAGATGCCAGACGTCAGAAAACACTGAGGCTCTTACTTCTTTTGCTCTTGTCCTTATTGAGGATCTGCCGCAGCTCCTGCTCCTGCTGCCCGGGCTCTGCCTCACGGTGCGAGGTCTCCATGGTCACCTGAGAGAGGAGAGGGCACTGTCAGCACCAGGGGACTTGAAACACTGTGCCACAGGGATGGAGCATCTCTGCAACAGGCTGTTACAGCATTTTTGGAAACCCAGTGGGCTGACAAGGATGTGATAAACTGTTTCATTGCTGGAAGCATCTTTGTCTCCCAGAGATGCTCAGTCCAGAGGAGGCCATAAGGATGCTCAGAGGTTGGAGCACCTCTGCTATGGAGAAAGGCTGAGGGAACTGGGAAGGTTCAGCCCTGAGAAGGCTCTGGGAAGAATTCAATGCAACCTTCCAGTGCTAGAAAGCAGCTTACAAATAGAAAGGAGAGTGACTTCTTGCAGGATGGGATGGGGGGGGAACAGCTTAATCTTAAAGAGGGGAGATTTAGGTGAGGTGTGAAGAGGAAATTCATAGCTCAGGGAGCAGTGAGGCCCTGGCACTGCTGCCCAAAGAACTGTGGGTGCCCCATCCCTGGAGGTGCTCACAGCCATGGCTGGGGCTCTGAACAGCTGATGGAGGAGTGGGAGCAGCCCAGGGCAGTGGGTGAGCTAGGGGAACTCTGAGGTCCCTTCCAACCCAACCATTCTATAGTTCTGTGCTGATGAAAGGACCCTTCCAACCCAAGCCATCCTATGGTTCTACAACTCCACTCCTGCAGAGGGATAAAAAAGTGGCTTTTTAGTACCCATACCCTGACGTGCTGGTGGGCGAGCTGCTCCACTTGCTGCTGGTGCAGGCTGGCGAGGAAGAGCTGGTGCTGCAGCTGCTGCGTGTGCTTCAGAGCCAGCAAGGCCGTGTCGGAGCCGGGCTTGACAACACGCTGCCCGATGCGCAGGTCCATGGGGACGGCCTGGGGCACCCGTGGCGAGGTGCACGGGGTCACAGCAGCTGTTGGGACACAAAGCAGGGCGCAGCTGGGTGAGGAGCAGCACACGGAGGGGCCTCCCGTGCCTCCCACCTTTGGGAAAGCAGTGGGATGGGGATGAGGATAACCCGACGTGCAGGAGGGCACCGCGAGGAATGTGTGCTGCTGCTGAGAAGGGCTTGCCACATCCCATCTGCTGCCTGTGAGAGCCTCCTCCGTCATCCAGGCAGAAATCCTGTATGTTATACACCCTTGGAGCACCTCCAAAGTGCTGCAGGCAGCTCGCCCTGACACCACAGTGTTGCAAACTGAAGGCGCTCCCATCTCGCACAGGGAACCCCTTCAACCTCACAAGACCACCTCGGCAAACCCTCGCTAGAGACAGACTAAAGCACCCACTGCAGCAAGAGACCTTTACCACAAAGCTCCCAAAGCCTTGCAGCGCTCACCCTGCAGCGTGGCACTGCTGCAATGCTGCTACAAAATCCCACAACCTGCAATATTGTTCAGACTCTAAGCAGCAATGCCACCTCTGCAGCCTTGCCTCCATATGAGCAGTCCTCAGTGAAGGTCAGATGGAGCCATTTGCAGGAGCAGAGCCGGAGGGAACAGTCTTGCAGGCCAGATGGAGGCAGTGGGATATCGCTTGCCCCCCAACAACCACCCCATTGCCACCCCCACAGCAGCCACATCCAGCACAGCTGCTGGGGATGCTCTATGCAGCACAGCATCTGCAGGTGGAAAGGGGATGAGCAAGCACAAGACTGAAGGATTCAAAGACAGCCCCAGTGCACCTATGGCATCCCAAAAAACACGCAGCCAAGGCAGCTCCATGCTTCAGGCACTGCAGCATAGGAATGAAAGAGGCTGGAAGCAAGCAGGTGGGCAGGAAATCCAGAATTAAAAGCCACTGCACAGGAATGCATCTGCAGGGACAAAGCCACTGCAGCCTGAGAACTAATTGTTTTCCTAAAGTAGTGAAGCAGCTCAAATTAAAAATAATAATAATGATCATAATGCAAATGTTATTTTTATAGGCAGAGAACCACACCCTGCACTGTGCAAATCTCAGCCTCAACGGCATCAGGGAGCTTGTGCTGACAACTGCAATACTGCAGGAGAAATCTCTGCGGGCTTCAGCCCCGTCATGCAGCAATGCAACAGGGAAACCCAGCACTGCCAGGACATCCTGCAGTGCCAGGGGGGAAAAATGCCCCTGATCCATAGGGCAAATGTTTCCCAACACAGCAAAACCCCCAGATACACATTCCCAGATTCAACCCGTAGGAGCTGATGCTCCCAGCCCCACAACGGGGTCTGACCTGATTCTCTTCATCTCTTTGATAACCACCTGGGATTTCATTTGTCTCTGGCTAATTAGTTCTAATTGCTACAGCCTGGGTGATGGGAGATAACAGCTGGAGGGTGAATGCTGCTGAGCTCCTACGCCCTGGGGCTGGAGGGGGTGTGCTGTGACCCCCTGCACAAACACTAAGACTGAGATGCATTTGATGAACCAACACAAGTTACCCCGAGCCAGAAGACCCCTCCCCTCTGCTCTCAGCCCTTTGCTTCACTCTTCCAGTTCCAAAAACGCTGACATCCTTCACAGTGCTGACAGCTCATCCTCTGCTGCCCGAGTGGCTGCAGAGCTCCAGCCATCTCCCAGCTCCAGCCATCCCTGCATTCCTGCTAAACATCAGCGATTTTGAAGGATGGGAGCGATAAGGCTGCCTCCTCCCTGCTCCTCGTGACCCAGTGAGAAGGAGGATGCACAGCGGGAGGAAGGCTGCAGCACTCTCCCAAAGCACTGCAGCTGCACAAGGATGGGCTGTAATGAGCAAACCTCAGGGTGGGAGATGGGGACTCGTAACAGCACCCACCCACATCCCTACAGAGGGATGCTCACTATCTGCAGCCCCATCCATCCAGCCCATCCTGCTGCACGCCACCAAGGCACAGGAGTTAGGATCAGCATTAATGCAACTTGGTGCATAGTTTGATTATAACAGCAGCCAATTACTGTTGAGAGGTGCTTGCACTGTCCACCTCCAAAATAATTCTATTCAGGGAAATAGGGCCCTGATTTCCCTCAAGAATCTGTGTGCCACAGTAGCGAAGTCAGCCAGCGAGAGAGACCACTCATTAAAGCACTCAACTTTCCCATACAAATTCCTCTGCCCTGCTTTTATGCTGCCTATACAAAAAGCCACGTTAACAGATGGCAAGTCAGCACACTAACAAAGGATTTGGTAAAGCTCCCTTCGTTTCCCTCTGCTGGAGATTTATTCTTCAGCGTCGCGGCATCGTTTGCAACGACACATTTCAGGCATCAGCAAAATCACACGAGTTACTCCAAATATAATTGCTTGGCTCTGAGATACAGAGAGCTGCGTGTGTGCAGGAACACCCTGAGGATGGGGAGGACCAGAGCAGCCCAGCGAGCTGCAGCCTCCATCCCCACAGCTGGTGGCATCCAGGGGAGCTCTGAGAGCAGTTGCAGCCTCCCTGCATGTATGATGCTCCAAACACCAGGAGGGAGCTCCATGCACAGCCCCTCCATCCATCAGCTGCCGACCCAGGGCAGAAAAGGGGCGGTTTTGTTTGAGCCTTTTTAAAAACAAACTCCAAAGCAGCACAAAGGAAGGAGCGGGAGGGAGGCCGTGCAGGCCAGCAGCCAGAAAAACAACTCCTCACTGCGTGCCCCAAGCCAGGAAAAAGGCAGTCGAGCATCCCTGCAGCCAAGAGGCACCAGCACCGCTCCGCACACCGAGTGCCAGGGCACAGCTGCTTCCCAGCCTCACCCCCTGGAACCCACAGCACCCCAGGGCTGCCACCCACCCCTCCTGCAGCTCTGGATGCCCCCACGCAGCTCCCTTCCTTCCCTTGGGGCTGCTGGGTTCAGCCATCAGCTCCCTCCGTGGCTCGAATTCGCATGGGGTTTGCAGCTGGGATGTGTGCCAAGAGCTACAGCGCACAGCTCCTCTCCGGAGCTCCGCATGACGGAGGCAGGCGGCCAGCAGTGCGCTCCTCCTCTTCCCTTCACCCCAAGGAAGGGCCCAGTAGCCAAATCCAGCACTGCCAGGGCTCTCAGGGAGCTGCTCCCATCCTCGCATCCTCCTGGGGATCCCTGCAAGCACCACGAGGGGACAGAAAACCCCATAGAGGGAACGACACCCAAATCCACTGCAGAGCCATTGGGGTAAGGCAAAGCCAGCATCCTGCTCCCAGAGAAGAGGAGGATTCGGGGCCTCTCTTGCCTGCCAACATTTTTTTTTTACTTTTTTTTTTGTGAATTATTTTTAGTTTGTCAGAACATTCGCATGGGAAGGGGAAGGCCGGCGCTCAGCGCATCGCCCTGCCACCAAAACGCAGCCAGATCCATCCTCACTGCAAGGACACAACGCTTCCCCTGCACAAACCACAGCGTGGCACGGCACAGAGAGCCCAGGAGGGTCTTTGGGGTGCAATGCAAGCACGGCACCCCTCATGCAATGGGGGTGAAGGCGCTGCATCGCCCCTGTTGGCACCCCGCGCCGCCGTCGCAGTGCCAGGGTTGTTTTTCTGGGTCACCGGGTGCAGGCAGGTGGCAGGGAGGAAAGCGCTGCTCCGCCAGCGCGCTTGGAGGAAGCCAAGGAGGCAAAAAACAGTGGGGCCTCGTGTGGAGGCGATGGCCCAGGGCAACCGAAGCCATTGCACAAACCTTCCCCACCTGTGCAGGTCACACTGCAGCTCCACACCCTTCCTCCACGGAAAGGGGAGATTGCAACAGGTCCTGGGAAAGCTGCAGGGCGAGCGTGAACGTGGTTCCATGTGGGTTACAGGCATTTTCCAGGCTGCTCTTGCTGCTTTTTTTTCCCTGCAGTGAAGCCTCTGCTTTCTCTGCTCTCTCTGCTCTCTCCTCCTTGGGGTGATGCCTGCTGCAAGTGCCCACAGAGCACTGGATCTGGGGCTTCTCCCACCTTGCCCCCGCTCTCTGTGCGCAGGGTGGCAGGGACTTTCTCAGGCTGAGTGCATTACTGCAGTGTTGGTGCAGCTCACTCTGTGCTGGGTAAGCACACTGCTGCACACATCACAGAATGGCCAAGGTTAGAAGGGTCTTCAAGGATGATGAATCTCCAAGCCCCCTGCCACATGCAGGAGGGCCACCAATCTTCCCTTTTAATACCAGACCAGGCTGCCCTGAGCCTCATCCAACCTGGCCTTGAACGCCTCCAGGGATGGATGGGGCATCCACAGCCTCTCTGGGCAGCTGTTCCAGCACCTCACCGCTCTCATCATAAAGAAAAGATGGACAGAGCCACCCTCAAGTGGAAAGAAAAAGCAACGAGAAATCTTTGCTTTGGTATTCCCTGCTTTTTAACCAGGCATGAGCAGCAGTCGGCAAAGAGCTGCACTTCCATAAAGGAGAAATAAAGGCAGAAGCAAATGGTACAAATGCACGGAGCAAAGCAAGCTGCGGGTCTTTGCAGCCCTTCAGCTCCAGGTTCTGCAGCGCTGCCATGCACCAGGCAGCCTTCACACAGCCCACTGAGCTGCAGCTAAATGCACTTCATGAAAACCCTGTCCCATCTTCTGCTGATTAGCTGTGAAAGGTTCAGAGTTCAGCCGGGTTGAAAAATGCATGTGATTAAAAACATTCCTCTGAAATAAAAGGAAAAGGTCTTCTCCAGAGCCACGCACAAGGAACAAAAAAACAAAAAGAAAAAAGCCAGCCGGAGGGGATTTGTTCAAATTAAAAACACTTAAATAAGAAACCGCACACACACACAAAAAAAGATTATGTTGAAATAACATGAAGATCACAAAGCTGGGACTGGAGCAAGAGGAAATCCCAGAGCTGGGGTACCTCACATAACCTCCCTGCAGCCCCCGGGGCGCACGCATTCAGATGGTGGCTTTAAATACAGGGCTGAGCACTGAGCTCCCCACAAAGATGGGAAAAGCATCGTCACCCCGTTATCTTCGCCCCGCTACAGAGGGGAGGGATGTGGCAAGTGGGTGCTGCAGCCCTATGGGGATG